TTTGTTCACAGTAATTGTTGAACTTCATCATCATCATCATTTGATGTCAGATGGGTAGTCTGGCTTCAAATATAGTATCATCCAGAATTTACCATTTGTTTCCAGCTTGGGGTTTTGTTAAAGCATATTTTAAGCCAGTGTTAAGATTACAGTTTCCTTCCTCGAAATGGCTGATTCGGGATTTTGTAGTTATGATTCAGAAAAGGAAGCTGGATTAAAGGCTCCAAACTTTTGGGGACCTATGGTTTAAGTCAAAATGCATTGGATTGAACTGATGCCTCTTATGACTGAAATTATAATATTCCTGTGTATATTTGAAAAAAAATATGAATAGTAGGGAGCATTTTTTAGCATTTATTGTGAACTGCTGGATATATTTATTACTGTATTTCAATTGGAAGACCAAGAGATGTTTCTAGTTTTCATCTTCCTTCCTTGCCGGATAAGAGTCTTTTACTCTTTTCCCTTTCAGATTACTTTTCCCATAAGTAAATGATTGTCACCACCACTTTAACTTAGTTAATGAAAGGGTAGCCATTTTTGGACTCAGTTAATAAAGATGTTTCCACCCCCTTAGTTTGTTTGCTTGCTTGCTTGCTTACTTGCTAAATACCTGGAGAAAGGAAAAGCTATATCTGTAACTTTTATTCCTTCAGAGGAGATCTCAGGGGACTTTGTGTGGATGTTTCTGAGGTCTGGTTGCAGGTGGTCAGCCAAACTCCTACATTAGAAGCTCAGAGGCTGAAGAATTAATCTGACTTCCGCGCGGCTGAGTCTGTTTCCTTACAGGCAGAACAGATGTGGTTTTGTGCTTTTTCTATTTGGTGCCGATTCACATTTGAGGAAGAAAGGGGCTTCTGTTTGTTTGGTTTGGTTTTGTCAGACTCAGACTCTGATTAGGCCCAAGTGAAAGTCCCTGTGAACTTTATCAAATAAACATGGAGAAGATGACCATAACAATGCCTCTCCTGCAACAGCCACAGTTGTGTTTTTATGTTAGTGGTTTGATCGTGATAGCAGTCATATACTGATATTATTCTTGTATCCTATATCTGTTTTCCATATTGGTTTTTTATAGCCTTCATGAAAGCCAAGTAAATGTTTGCCTTCTTGCTGAGTGAGCTTTTGGTTGTTTCAGTGGCATCCACAGAGGGAAAATCAAAACCACCTAGGCCCAGAGGTGGTATTCAGCAGGTTCTGACCAGTTCTGGAGAACCAGTAGCGGAAATTTTGGGTAGTTCGGAGAACCGGCAAATACCACCTCTGACTGGCCCTGCTCCCATCTATTCTCTGTCTCCCGAGTCCCAGCTGAGTCCCTTGTTGCCCTGCACAGGAGAACGGAGCTGGAAAGCAGGTTAGTGGGGTGGGGAGGAAATGGGGATTTTGCAGTATCCTTCCCCTGCCATGCCCACCAAGCCACACCACACCGACAGAACCAGTAGTAAAAAATGTTGAATCTCACCACTGCCTAAGCCCTGCTCCTTTGCATCCAGCTTTGTTCTCCACAATATAAAAAAGATGCTGAGACTCTAGAAAAAGTGCAGAGAAGAGCAACAAAGGTGAATGGGGGACTGGAGGATAAAACATATGAAGAACAGCTGTAGGAATTGGGTATAACTCACTGAACGAAAAGAAGGATTAGGGGTGACAGCATTTCAATATCTAAGGGGCTGCTACAAAGAAGGCGGGGAGGATGTCAAATTATTCTCCAAAGCATCTGAAGGCAGAACGAGAAGCAATGGATGGAAACTAATTTGACTAATCAAGGAGAGAACCAACCTAGATATAAGGAGAAATTTCCTGACAGAACAATTAATCAATGGATGGCCTTCAGAAGTGGTGGGAGATTTTTTTTAAAAAAAGAGATTAAACAACTATTTATCTGAAATGGTATAGGGCAGGGCTGTCAACCTCCAGACCCACAGGCCAGATGAGTCACGCACTGGCCACGCTCACGAAAAAGTCCTGATACATCATGTACACACCACCATGATGACATGAGTTTGACACACCCAGTATAGGGTCAAACAGATCAAAACAGATCAAACAGATAATCAGATTTGGAAGGGACCTTGTAGGTCATCTAGTCCAACTCCCCACCCAAGCAGGAGACCCTACACCATTTCTGACAAATGGCAGTCCAATATCTTCTTGAAAGTCTCAAGTGATGGCGCTCCCATAACTTCCAAGGGCAACTTCTGTTCCATTGGTTGATTTTTCTCACTGTCAGAAAGTTTCTCCTTATTTCCAGGTTAAATCTCTCCTTGTTCAGTTTCCAACCATTATTCCTTGTCTGGTCTACAGGCGCTTTAGAAAATTGCTTGACCCCTTCCTCCCTGTGGCAGCCCCTCAAATATTGGAAGACCACTATCATGTCTCCCCTCGTCCTTCTCTTTACTAGACTAGCCAAGTCCAGTTCCTGCAACTGTTTGTTCCCCAGACTTTGTGCATTTGTATATAGGCACTTGAGATCTTTATATAGGCACTTGAGATCTCCTGCTTGTGCGGGGAGGTTGGACTAGAGGACCTCCAAAGTCCCTTCCAGCTCTGTTATTCTGTAAAGTTCAGCAGTATCTCGTGTAATACATAAGGGGCAGGCTTTCCAGTATGATGCTGGACCGTGTCTCACATTTTGCTGCAAATGCTGCTGGATTATTCAACAGAACCAATGAGATTTAGAAATAGGGTGACATCTTAAAGCAAAAGAAAACAATGACAAAGCCTTCTGCCCAGGTGATCGTTCTATTGCTTTTATTTTTTTTAATTGGAACCCAACCCTTTTCTTCTAGTCCCATGAAAGTTAGCTAGGCCTACTACCAAACTTGGAAATTTATGAGTATACATTTTTGTGGGTGTGTTAGCTTACCCCTATTTCCTTTATATACTTCAAGAAAACCAAGAAAGTCTATTTAAAATCTAGCTTTTCTAAAGCTGGGTTTATTTTTTTAAAAAAATATGTTTTTTTTCACCCATTTCAGAGCTCTATGTGTCTTAAAAATATCTGGAGTTTATAGCAATTACCTAATAATTTACACCTGAAATTATAGCATGATGCATGACTAGTTTCACATTAAATAAAGATCTTTAATGACTCAATGAACAATAAAGAAGGATGACCTAGATATATTTAGATGCATTCTCCCAAAAAGACATGCCTTTGGAAACATTTCCTGGCCAATTATTTAGCCAGTAACTCACTTTCTCTCTCAGGGCAGAAATTACTAGCAATGATTCTTCCAATCCTTTCAGGATGCTTTTCTGAGCATGCTCATCGCTTAATGAATTTGTCAGCCTACCATGCAAATCTTTTACTTCCTTGATCATCTACCTAAGCTTTAATGGTTATGTCTTGATCATAAATCAAGGCAAGGGATCCAGGGAAGCACATATTCTCCAGTGATTACATATCCTCTGCTCGATAGATCTTGAAGCTTGAAATTATTATACTTTCTTTGTACATGCTCAAAGTAGCGGCCACCGAATGAGTCAATCAAATTTCATTCATATTATACAGACTGATGGGGGAGTGGTACCTTGATTCTTGACTTGGGCAGGTCTATGCAGTTTGGTAACAATTTCAGAAGTGATCTCCCAGTGCTTCTTCCTAAGACTAATAGAAAGTGACTTCTCCAAAATCATCCATCTGGTTTATGCCTAAAGCAGGACATTTTTCAAGTGGTTTGCCCTTGTCTCTTTCTTAGGGCTGAGAGAAGGTGACTGGTCCAAATTCAGCCAGCTGGTTTTGTCCCTATGTCAGGACTAGAACTCCCATTCTCCCTGTTTCCTAGCCTGGTGCCTTAGCCATAATACTGTACCAAATTCACTTTTGAGAACAATGAGATTTATTCAACATCGTTTCTTATAGCTTTCACTGGTCATTTCTGTACTATCTAAAGGACAAGTAGCTTTACGGGACACATTAGACCGCACTGTTTAATTATTCATGATTTGAGACTATCCATTTCTATTAACAGTTCCAGTTACTGATGTCCTCCAGAAGGCAGAAGTCATGGAAAAGCAAGTGATGTACACTGATATACTTACGGGAACGATGCTCGGTGTGCTACCATATGTGCTGTGGTCAGTGCCTCCAGTTGCTTGCCATCTTCCCTACTGGAAATGGGGTGAGACTGATCACCTATGATACATGCCCTGAATAACCCCATGAAGTTGTTTTTATAGTTTGAGAGCTACTGCACATACAGAGTTTGGGTTACAAGATGGCATATGCTTTGCATAATGGAGAATTACTGTAAGTCTGCCAGATGTATCGTATCCAAGGGATAAATGACAAAAGAAGCACCACAACTTTGTGATGCATGTCCCACCACTTTTGTACACCCGTACATATAGCAAAAAATTGGTCAAAATGCCATAATGCTGTTTTCATCATTTTGACCAAAGTCGCCAATCTCATGGATGCTGTAAAATACTTGATATTCTTTGAAATGAAGTTGTCTTGTAAAGAAATACAGAAGCTACCAGATACACGATTATATGCCAAAACTCCCTATATTTTTATTTTTCATATTTTTTCAAATATGCATATACTGCCTATACAGTGTGTGTGTGTATACCCACACAAACACACACATAGTCACACACACAAATCTATACACATAAACACTCTAATGTATATACTGCTATGCTAAAGCTAAATTATATAAAAGTTCAACATGAAACAAAAGTCACATCCGATAGCAATTTAGTCCAGCGAAAATAAATTATGACTAACAGTACCTTTTGTTATTCAAGCAAATAATATTCAATACTTCACTTCAGATATGAAATATTACTAAATAATATAATCAAAAATTAACAGTCCTGCAAACACTTCCTGAAGATTACCAGAAATCATTGCATAATTATAAGGAACAAAAACAATAACAGCAAAGATGGGTTGCTAAAATATTGCAGACCATGCACACTAATATTCAACAGCAACAAGGGTCATGTATCCTACAGCATTAATCATAGGGAATCAAAACAATGAGAAAACAAATCTTTGAGTTGTAGCAAAAATAAAGCAAGCTTTTCTAACAAAATTAAATGAGTTTTCAATTAGCAATAATCGTGCCTCAGATAAATTTCATTGGCTACAATACTGCCACTGCGCAGAGTTTGAATGGTTTTGAGCAGCATGATAGTGGTGAAGACTCTTGCCTCCCACTCAGAAAATTGAGAGTTCAATCCTAGGTAGAAACTGATGTTTCTCTCCTAGGGCTCAAAGAAAAATATATCTGCTGTGAACTCTGTGTGGCATCTGGAAGAGCATCCGGTCAGTAAACGCTTAGCTCCATCCATTCGCCCCGACTCTACCCCAAATTAAGGGATTACAGGGTAATAAAAAGGGAGTATCAAATGAGGGGTTTTGTTGGTTTTAAATGAGTATAACTTTGATTATTATTTTTTTACACTTTTCACACAGATGCCAATTTTTTTCCTGGCTGGCAACTTTATTTGGCTCCAGAATCTTCAGAGCCTTTCCAGATCTTATTTGGACAGCTAAGAACAGGTCATCTTGCCTTGGATCTGTGCCCATCACATCTGCCACTTCATTCCACCATGTATTATTGCAACTGTTGGGTGCTTCCTTCTGCTATCCCACACTTATAGGCACTTGGATCACTTTTGAACTGAAGCCAAGCCAGCATTCATCTCAGCTGGTGGCTACTGAAGAATGGGAAAAAAGGAGAAAGAGAAGCAGTCAACTTTACATGGCAAATAGTTTGACTCAGTTGGGAAACATGAGACACAACAGCTCTAGACACAATAGAACCTGCCCTTCTCATCTAAAAAGCAGCACACCACTTATCCAGAATGACTCCAAGGATAAGAAGTTTCTTTTTCAGATAGAAGAGTGTTTTTCCCACCCATTGAAAGCTGGCTGACTGATCTCTCTTTGCAATTCTTGCTTGATAATAACATCTAAGACCAAATATTCAATTCAGAGAGAACTGAGTCTTTAAATCTTTGCTTAATCACTTTATTTGGCAACATTTTGTCAAATACACACATGTAGGACAATGCAATTAGATTTACAGTCCAAATGTCAACATGCAACATGAAAGAAAAAAACAAAATGGAGAGAAGGCAGGCTTAAGAATCAGCTTTTCAAGTTTTGCATGACAATGTTAATAGTTATACAACTATACAATATATTTCAAGAAGCATAAGAAACAACAGCACACATATTTGCTCTGGCTGTATATCCATTATAATTAGATGGCATAGTAAAAAGGTACATAAATAAAGAGGGAATTGAGATTTGGGGTGAATGTGTATATTTGTTTAGCCTTCTTATGTTCTATTTTTTTCCTGGTATTAAATTCATTCTGATTTGTAATACATTGTCAGTGAAAATGTAATTCTATTACAAAATGGGAAATTTTCTCTCCTCACCAATCTCCACCATCTTATCTTAATGATTTGTAATACTTTTAAAGAATCTGCATGAATGTCCATACAGATTTCTTTTCATTTTTTCCACAGTGGCCATTATTTTGTGTGTATGCATATATGTATACATATATGTGTGTGTGTGTGTGTGTGTGTGTATGTATGTATGTATGTATGTATGTATGTATGTATGTATGTATGTAT